AAACAATATATGACATAAAACAAATATTTCCACACGAAACAAACAAAAACAACAACAACAACAACAACAACAATAAAAAATAACAAAGCAAAGCAAACCAAACCAAGCAAAGCGCCCCTCTCACCTCGCCAAAGTCGTGTCCACCACATTGGAGCCGTTGAGCGCCCGAAGGATCTGCACAAGCTGCAAGTTGCTCTTGAGGGGGAACTCCTGGCCTGTGAGGTTGATGAAATACTTCCACTTGGAGGGCCACAGGTCCTTCATACAGTACAGCCACGGGGTCAGAGAGCTGGAGGGATAGATAGATAGATAGACAGACAGAAAGGCAGGCAGACAGACAGATAGACAGACAGACAGACAGACAGACAGACAGACACACAGGCAGGCAGACAGACAGACAGACAGACAGACAGACAGACAGACAGACAGACAGACAGACAGATATATAGATCAAGATAGATAGATAGATAGATAGACGGATAGATAAATAGATTCATTTATCCATTCATATGTTCATTCATCTATTTATCTATATACTTGTCCCAATCTATTCCTGCCTTCCGTCCTGACAATAGTCGAACCTGCTCTAACAACCTTATGTCCAAGACTGTACTACCGACCACATCCTCTCTTGCAGTTTTTCTCTTCCAATATATCTAATATTGTGACGACACTGCCTAAGAGGCCACCTGTCTAAGATTGACCACTTTCCTCACCGAAAGGTCCTGGGTTCGAATCTGGGTGGCGACGGAATATTTTTGTAAAACATCCCTGTAATATTAGTTAAATGAGCAATAACTGTGTTTGGTTCACTATTGTTAATTGCCGTAGTTATGTCTCCTTATTTGAATGTATTAATTTGGTACTCTTCAGGATGAGCAATTAAAGTTATGATTCAGTAGTGTCATAAACATCCAACATTGTCGGTTGCTATTTTCAGTGTACGATTGTTGTGCTAGACTATCCGAGTGTATCTAACTTATTACCTAGGCAAAATTCAACATTTCTAATCTACTGAAAATGTTTAAAGTAAAGTAGTTTAAGTTTGAAAAGCTCATATGACCTTATGCAGTTGCGAGCAGTGTAAAACACTTAACAAAAAAATATAAACCCCAAAAGACAAAACAAAACAAACAAAAACAACAACCCCCC